CCTCTGGGCTGAGCCCCCCCCAGCTGCTCCAGACCCTTTCCCAGCTCTGGACACACTCCAGCCCCTCAATGTGTGTTGTGGAGTGAGGATCTCCTGCAGTGCCTGCATCTCCAGGCTGCCTGTCCTCTGTCCTTTCCCTTGTCAGAACACAGCCTTGACCAAACTGCAGCATCCTCCAAGGAGGGAAGGAGTGAAATGTCCCTTCTGGGGAAGAAGGAAGGAGGGACAGTGAGAAAAGAGGGGTTTGGTCTCAAAAACAGGTTCCAAATCCCAGGAGGACCCAGGGCAGGCAGTGCTCGTGTGGTCAGGCACCAATGCTCTCCACAAGGGTGACTCTGGATCTGCAGGAGCAGCAGGTCAGGAGCAGCCCCCTCCCTCTCTGGGAGCCCAAACTGCCCCATCCCACATCCCCAGGGACCTGTGGGTGCCCCATTTCCCCAGCCATGCAGTCCTTGAGGAAGCATTGCCTGGTTTTCATCTCTGGTAGGGAATGGAAATGAGGAGGTTATTCTTTGCTGAAACATTCTGCAAAAGTCAGAGCTGAAATCTCTCACTTTTCTCTTCCATCTGTTTATTTTTACCACTTAATAACACGTCTGTCTTGTCAACTGTTCCTGACACTGTGGCAAGAAAACCCAACTCAGTGAAGACAGATTTATCAAAGAGACATTAGCTCTTCCTCGCTGTGTGACACCACATCAGCTCTCCTGCACATGAAGTCTGCTCTGTAATTTCAAAGTGTGTCTTCTATCTCTTTGAGGGGCTGATATGACCAATATATTTGAAATTGTTGCTTGTTATGCAAAAGGTTATCCAAACTGTGAAGATAAGAAGCAATTTCAAGTGCTTCAAGGAGCCTCCTTTTTTTTGATGTGTTTTTCTCCCCACTGCCACATGATGTTACAGACCTAATTTCAAGAGATTAGTAACAATTGCAAAACAGTCATTGAAATAATCTGTGATAGAGCACAGAACTCTGGGACAACATGAAAAGTCTGGGCAATCAATAATTTCTCACCATGATTAAGAAAATCGTGGTCTGCAAGCTTCAGTGTGACACCAGAGCTGCTCCTGCTTCCCCAGGAGGTGCCTGAATGAAGGGCAGCAGTGTGAATCTCCTCATGATTCATCTTGGCTTTATTAGCTTGACAGGGATGGCTTCACTCACCCCTTTTGTTTCAAACTGTGCTCCTGGTTTCCCTCCTGAACCATCCCCCTGATGGGGAGGCCTGGAAGAACTGAATCTGAACCATCTGTCATTTTCAAATGAACTCTTTTACCACTTTTTCCTTATTTTCTTGCCCTTCCACGAGTTTGTTTCATAAATTTTGAATCCAGCTGAGCTGAACCAATGTCCTTGTCTGGTTTTTGCACAGGGAGCAGGGATATTTCACTGAAACAGAATCTTGGAACTCCCAGTTTGGTGTGTAGAGTCACTCAGAACACATCCATCCTTCTGGGCACGTTGTGGTAGCACAGCCACAGCCTTGGTTGGGAGGTGAATCCAACAGGACACACAATCCAGCTGGGAGCAGGACAGAGCTGGGGGTGTCTCCATGCGCAAAACAGGATGGGCAAAGGCTGGCTGTGAGAGCAGCATTGGGTTTAGTGATTCCCTCCTCACTAGAGCTGAGCCTGTGTCTCATTTCTGCCTCGTGCATGGTCCTGTTAGCTCAGAGCAAGTTGACTTCCAGGACCTGGTGTTCCAGAAGTGATCCTCAGCTGATGAAAGCAACCCTCAGCATTTCAGAAAACAGCTGATTCCCATGTCCTCTCACTTCACAAGACCATCCTCTTCACTCCTTGTCCACATGAAAGGCAGCATTAACTTCTAGAGAACCACAACCTGTCCTTTGGGCAGCTCCCTCCTTCCCTGGGAGTGAATGGCTCCTGAATGCCTTCAGAATTCTCCTGCCTCTATGAGAAGCTACTTCCAAAAACCAGGGAAAGAAGACCAAAACCATGTTGTTGAATCTTGGAATTTCCCTGCGTGTCCCTCTACACATTTTATTACACTGGAGCACATTCCATCAACAGCACCATGCACTCTGCCCTTAATGTGGAGTAGGAAATTATCTGTACATCATGGAAAATCTCTTATTGCAGAAAATAAGGAGAACCTACCAGATTCTGAAGAGTTAATTCAGATTTACATCTGTGAGGGAAAAGGATTTGTTCAAAAAAGATGGAAAGAGTTAAGCGAGCTGGTAAATGAAATTACTCAATATTGTCCCATACTGATTATTTTTCCCCCAGAAAAGCCTCCTGTAATGAAGGACCTGTCTTGGTTTCTTTCTCTCTTTGGCTGAGGCTGGAGTGTGGCTGGTACGAGACAAATCCACCTTTTCCTTCCTTTGATCACAAAGATGCCAACTGAAAAGAAACCTTCAGGAATCTGCTGCCAGGCTGGGGTGGATCTGCCATGCACGTGTAACACACTCTTCACTGCACTTGGGCCCAGGACTGAAATGTCCAAGATTCCCTGATTTCTCTGATTTTCACTGCCTTGTTTTCTCAATCCTTTTGAGTACACTTGCCTTGTTTTGTCAGGAACTGCCAAACCTCAGCAAATGAGTGGAGAACTGCACCCCAAATGAATTCTGTAGCAGAAGAACATACCAGACTGTTGTCCAAGGTCCTTCCCTTCAACACATCTGCCCTAGCAGACAGGAAAGAAGGGCATCTATCTAAAAATAAAATTATTGAATATTTAGGTGCTGCTATTTTCATCATATATTGTTTTAAAGCTTCAGTTCACTTGGTGCTTTTTAAAGACTTGGGTGAAGGAAAGCACCTGTATTACCTACAAAAATGGTTTTAAGTGCTGGGCACAGACTGGCCCAGAAACAGAGGAAGTGGAGTGTGGCATTCACATTTTCTGGAAAAATCCCTTCACCCAGGACTCTTCTCCTGGGAAGCTGAGAAGCCTCAGAGAAAAAGGAAAACAATCATTATCTGATTTGCTTCTCCTGTGTTGTGCTCATGTGGAATGTGTTTGGAGAATGTTTGATTGGTTTCATATGAATTATTTTGACTCATTGGCCAATCAGGGCCAAGCTGTGTCAGGGCTCTGGAACAGCCACAAGTTTTCATTATTATCTTTTTAGCCTTTCTGTATTCTTTAGTATAGTTTAGTATAGCTAATAAAGAATATAGTATATATTATACTATAAAGAATATAGTATATTCTTTAATATAATACAGTATCATAAAATAATAAATTAGCCTTCTGAGAACATGGAGTCAGATTCATCATTCCTTCCTTTGTCAGGGCACCCCACAAATAAAATAATGGAGGGCAATGGCTGTGGAAGATGAGGCAGAAAGGGAATGTGAGCTGGAGCTGATGTCTTGATCCTGCTTTGCTTGCTGCTGCCTGAGCCCTGCTCTCTTCCCACCCTCCCAGCTGGCTGTGGAGCCCAAGGTGCAGATCAGAGACATGTGGTAATGCTGGGATGCCTTGTCTGTCCTGGGCACTGGGAGACGGAAACACAGATCTCCAGGAAAATTTGCTGGCACTAAACAGTTTAAGCACCATGAGGGAGTTTGGATTTCACATGAAAAGGTGGGGATGAAGGATCCATAGTTCCATCCCCTCCTACAATGACTCCAGCTGAGGCACAGGACACAAAGTCCACCTTTGGAATTCAGCAATCCCAGACATGGCAAACCATCATCTCAATAGGAATGTGGTGATTCTCCTGGGATTGGCTGCAGGGTCTCCTTGGAGGAGCAGAAACGATGACAAGGACAAGTGCTGTGCTTGGCACCAAGACAGGAGACCACCTAAGCCACCAAAGAGCCACCCTCACAAAGCAGATGGACAAATCACAGTGAATGAGGACTTTTTTTTTAAATCTACACACTTCACCTGACATCACTTCATCCTATCTGGTCACTTGATCTGCCTTCTAAATCCAAACTCCAGTATTTTTAGTTACCTAAAAAAAGAAACAATGCTCACCCAGAAGAGCCTAGAAGCTCAGGCTGGAAGCATGAAACCCCAGCAGATCAATATTAAGTTACATCCTGGCAATTGGAGGGAAAATAAACACAGTTAACTCAGAGCCACATGAAGCTTTGTACATTAAAAACACCAATAGTGTTTTATTCAGAAAAAATAATCAGTCTTGCTTTGAATGAGAAAAATCCATATTAGATGACACTTGGCATGATAATGTGAGCCAGGATCAAGCCATGCCTCAGTGCCCCAACAGCACAGGGGGCTGTGAATGATCCTCAGAGGAACCTCCTCCCCAATGCCTGCTCAGCCATTCCCACTGACCTGTCCCCATGGCTGCTGCTGTTGAGTTGATCTTTGGTTCATCCTGAAATTAGTTTATTTTTTTCTGCTTTAGCTTCTCTATCAACCCATCTTAGTTAAACTACATCCTCTGAATTTTCTTTTTTTTTTTTGAGCTTTAGATTTTTTTTTTTTTCTAGGAGGCTTTCTAGTCTGCAGCCAGCTGGGGCCCCACTTCTTTCCCTTGGCTCTACTCACTGTGAGAAGGATAAAAGCCTCCTCTGTTCTCTTTGGACAGGTTTCCAGCACTTGGAGAATGGTTTATCTGGAAGCAACATTTCAGATTTTTCTGTGCTGCAACTGGCACCACAGACAGGGATGTATCCTCACTGCTGAAGGAGAGCAAAACTGAGAAAATTCTGCCTCCAACCCTCTTTGAAAGCAAGACAGAGCTCAGGCATTCTGCCCACCCTGCTGCCCTTGACCTCTCAACAAGTTCTGCCTTCCAACCTCTTTGTTCCACAGCAGCCAGAAGGGATCTCCAGTGGTCTCTGGTTCAGCCCTCAGCCAGCCTGGATCAGGTCACTGGCACCTCCTGCAGCCCAAAGTGAACTTTCCTCCAAGGATGGAGATCCCACAGCAATACTGAGCAATCCTCTTTATCAAACATCCATTAGGAAGCAATCAGGGAGGGGTGTGACACCCAGGCTGGGCTTTGGGCTCCCCTGTGGCTCTCCCTGCACAGCTCGTTCCCCACATAGTGCCTGAGGCTGTCCACAGCACAGACAGGCACACACACAGAACAATTTGCATTAATAATAGCTTTTCTGAGGTTATCCTTTCTCAATCCTGGTACATTCCACCTCTCCTGTAGGACATTCTGCACCTGAACTTGGAGCTGCAGAGGGCTGAACACCCTTTAATGTCCTGCTGGAAGGGGCAGTGTCAGTGCACCTGCCTGGACACTGCTCCTGCTCCAGTGTAAACACACTGCATGGAACATCTGACCTTCCTTTCCTGGCAAGCTACTGCCTCCCCCCTGTTATAAATACATAAATGCATAACTTAACACCTGCCTTGACAAGGAAACCACACTGGGACCCGTGGAGAGCCTGCACTGTTTCACTGGTTCCCTCAGTGCAGCCCTGTGTCCCTTGCACGGGTTGGGGACATCAGCAGTGGTGGCTGGGATTTGAGCCAGAGGGGTCTGTAGTGTTTGTGGGCTTCCCAATGCAGCTACATTTGTTTCCAGGCAGAAAACACCAGCCTGTGCCCTTGCCCTGCAGCAAATCCCTTTTTGCCTGGCTCTGTTATGACTGGTGGGTGGCTGTGTCCCCTGCCAGACACCACAATGACTCCGTGCTGATCCCAGTGCTCCCACAGGACAGGGAACATTCCCACTGGGAGCTGAGGCCCTGCACACCGCAGAGCACACACAGGAGAAACATTTCCAAAAAAGCAGCCCTGGCCTCACTCACACAGGGCTGTGCCAGGGCTGGGAAGCACTGATGGGTTCTGCCAGACTGAGCACTCAGGCTGAGGCCTCAGTGACAGAGCAGCAGCTCCCAGGCTGGGCTCAGGGCCTGCCCTGCCCCGGGCCAGGCAGAGCCAGCTCGCTCTCATCGTTCTCCTCAGGCTCACTGCTGAAGGTGGAGGGGCTGCTGCTGGGCAAGCTGTGCCCAGAGCCCGTGCCCAGGGAGCCCTTGGGCTCAGTGCCCAGCCCCGGGGCACCCTGTGGGCACACATGGGCAGGGGCAGGCTGGGAGTCCTTCCTCTGGCACACAAACTGCCTCAGCAGGGATTTCTGCAGCGTGGTCTGCAGGCTTTCACAAGTCCTCTGGTTTGTGCTTGGCTGGGTGTAATGCAAATCCAGCTGCAGGACCACATCTGTCTGGAAGGGGAGAACAAAGAACACGGGGTGAATGGGGGAATCAGATTGGAAGCAGAGCTCTCCTAGTGCTGCTGCCAGCAAGGAGCCTTGGCTGCTGCTGTGCAGGCTCACAGCCCCATGCTGTGGCACGATGGAGCAACACTGCTGCCAGAGAAAATGGGCTGGACACACTCCTACAGCTCACTGAGCAACACTGCTGCCAGAGAAAATGGGCTGAACACACTCCTACAGCTCACTGTGCCTGCAGGCCTCAGCCATGGATTCTGGATTTCTCCTGAAGTCAGGCCATGAGGGATCCCATCAGCTCCATCAGGGAGCTGCCACTGCCAGCATCACCCTGGGGCATAGGGGAGCAGGAGCAGCAAAGAGTTCATAGAGAAAGATGCCATGTGGACAGTGCCAAATGCTCTGCACAAGTGCAGGCAGATGACACCAGTTCCATCACCCACCGCTACTGTAACCCCATCACAAATACATCAGGCACAGTCAGCCCTGAGTGAAGCCATGCTGGCTGTCACCCAGTCACTTCCTTATTTTCCATGTACCTTAGCATCATTTCCAGGAAATAATAGGAGATCTTAGCATCATTTCCAGGAGATAATAGGATATCTCAGCATCATTTCCAGGAGGATCTTCTTCATGATCTTGCCAGGCACAAGGTGGGACTGACTGGGCTGTATTTACCCAGGTCTTTGTGCACCATGGCCAAGAGCAATGCATGTGGGAGAGGAAAGCATGAACCACTCACAGTGCTCAAAGCCAGGTGGATGCACCTTGATCTAGTGGAAGGCACTTGGAGCACCCTGATCTAGTGGAAGGCATCCCTGCTTGATGAGCTTTAAGGTCCCTTCCAGCCCAAACCATTCTGGGATTCTATGAACTAAAACACACCCCACATTGTAAAAGCCAGCAGCTTTAATCAGCAGTGCTCCATAGGGATCCACTCACAGCCTAGCACTATTTTAGAATTTTGTAAAATGTGAAGAAATAAGAGAATAACCACATTTGTGGCAGTCAAACCCCTGAAAACAGATCCCCAGAAACACCTGTAAAGAGCAGGGAGAGGTACAATGGAACAAGAAAATTCTGGCAGGCAATACCTGGTCTAGGTCTCCTGTCTGCACTTAGAAGCAATGCAGAAAATCAGGGAAAGGTTCAGAAAAGAGCTCCAGGAACAATGAAGAAGTGAAAGCAATGCCATATGCTGAAGCACATCACGTACAGAGCAAGCAGAACTTGCTGCAGGCAGATCCAGGCAGCAGCTTGAGAGCAGCACTGGGTGTGAGATCCACTGGCTGTGTGTTAGAGAAGAAAAATCCAAGAATAAACAAGGTGCATACTGCTGTTTGAGGAGAAACAAGCCAGGGGACAAGCAATTCTGCTTCTCTCATGCTCTTTAAATAGTTTGAGGGTGTTTTGAAGTGTGCCAAAGAGGCACAGCTTGGATCAGGCTTGGCAGTGCCACTCTGATGACTGGAGATTCTGGCCAGCCCGTGAACTCATCTCTCAGGAAGCACAGTGAGACATTCCTCCACCTGAAATAACTGAAATAATTCCTCCACCTGAACTCATCTCTCAGGCAAGCACAGTGAGACATTCCTCCACCTGAAATAACTGAAATAATTCCTCCACCTGAACTCATCTCTCAGGCATGCACACAGCCTAGTTGAGACATTCCTCCACCTGAAATAACTGGGCAGCTCTGACCTCCCCGTGGGTGATGGGGCAGGGAGCAGCGAAAAACAGAACAATCCATGGCTGGTGATGCCTCTCTGCCCTCAGCAGAGGCTGCTGTGGGTCAGCTCTGATAGCAAAGTCAGGCAGAGGAGACAACACAAAAGCAAAGAGCACTCACAGTCAGGTTCTGCAGCCTGATTGTAAATCAGGAAGATTTTACTGAGGTGGAAGAGGTGAGGTGAAAGGACAGTGCTTTCCTATGGGAGGGCTGGGTGTGTCCAGCCTGGAAAAGAGAAGGATTCAAGATAACTTTAGAGCCCTTTCCAATGCCTAAAGGGGCTCTAGGAGAGCTGGAGAGGGACTGGGGACAAGGAATGGAGTGACAGGACACAGGAATGGCCCCCACAGCCAGAGGGCAGGGATGGATGGGATATTGGGAAGCAATTCTTCTCTGTGAGGGTAGTGAGGCCCTGGCAGAGGTTCCCCATCCCTGGAAATGTCCCAGGCCAGGCTGGACAGGGCTTGGAGCAACCTAAGACAGTGGAAGGTGTCCCTGCCATGGCTGGTGGTGTAACAAGATGAATGTTCAGGTCCCCCCCAATCCAAACCAATCTGTGATTCTCTAAAAGAGGGCAGCCTTTGTGCCTTGAAGACCAACAAGCTCCTCTTTGATCTGGATGTGACAGAGACATGTAATCAGAGAGACAGATCCAGCTCCAGCCATGCAGGTAAGGACACCAGCTCCATGAGAGAGCAGAGCTGGGGAAATGGGCACCTGGCTACTCTCTACCTCAATTTTCTGCAGTGCACAAAGCTGGAAGATGCAGTCCAGCTCCTCCCTCTTGTACACAGAGGCCAGCAGAGTCTCCACGTGGTCCAGACAGCTCTCCCTCTGGATGGCCACAGCATCTGTCTCCTGGGTCAGGAAAACAAGAGGAAAGACAAGGAAATTTCAGCATTAGCATGAAGAACTGAGGCACAACTGCCCATCAAACGTGCTCAGGGCTTTGATTAACACACTGCCTGGTGGAAATGCTGGGTATCCTAATGAAGTGCTACAGAAAGCCACAGGAATGCAGAGGTTTCACACACTTGCCTTGTATGTAATGAGAGGACCATGAGTGTCTCAGTATATGTTGCTACTGAGATGGCCACAATACACAGAGTATCATCAAACAATATCAGAAAGCATCAACCCAGACACAGCAACACTTCAGAAGGCTGCCAGCACCTGCTCCTCTTCTTCAGCCCAGCCCTTCACACCCCTGATGTTGATGCATTGCCCTGTGTGCCCTCTGCCCCCTTTGGTGGTTGCTCAGTGCCCCTGGGCACTCCATGGCTCATTGCAGTCACCTGTTTTTCACAGCTGTGCCCATCCCCAATTACCACAAACTCTGTGCCTACACCTGAGCATATCTCACTGTGAAAAATGGGCTACAGAGGGATTTGCAGCAGAGCAGAAGCAGCACCAGCTGGTATCACAACCACCACAGTGCCAGCAGTGTGTCATGGAGGGAGCAAGTTTTCCAAAGGTACTGAGTTGTGCTGATTTAGCCCTCCACCATCTACAGAACTGCCAATTCCTGCTGAGTTGCTCAGATTTAACCAAAACAGCACTGAGATCCTCCTCAGTACCAATTGAGCCACAATAATACCCCAGGAAGAGACAAGGGAATAAAGGCCTTATGAAATCACAGGTCATGGAATGCAGGGGGATAGAACATAAGTAAATAAAGGTAGTGTAGAAAGTAATCTTACCCCCTAAAGAGTTGCAGCTGGGTTAATTGTTAAAGATTTGGAGCAGGCCTGATGTTAACAGGCTGCATTTAGCCAATAAGAAGAGTGTTATAAAGAGTGGATTGGTGGGAACTGGAGTCAGTTGGCTGCTGTGAGGACAAGGAAAAATCAGAGGAGATGCCTACAAGAAACATCAAGGAGGTACAAAACTCTAGCATATGGAACCTTTGCAATGTAATGGCAATAGAACCTTTGCAATATGATGACAACAATGGAATATCTTGAGTTGGAAGGAACCCACAAAGGTCATTAAGTTCAACTCCTGGCCCTGCACAGACACCCCAGAACTTCCACCCTGTGCATGCAAGCACTGTCCAAGTGCTCCTGGAGCTCTGGCAGCCCTGGAGCTGCGACCACGTCCCACTTGCCTTGGATCTGAGCCCTCCAGAATGGGTGACAGGCCACAGCCTACAGCCCCTTCCAGAAGGTTCCCTCTGCCAGCCAGCTCTGGCACCATCCCAGTGTGATCCTCAGCAGGAGAAGCTGCCCTGGGCAGGCTGATAAAGGAGGCTGTTGGGATATTTAGGGATGTAAAAGTTGGAGAAGCCCTGGGAACTCTTCCGGGCCCTCCCTGAGCTGCTGCCTGCAAGCAGCCAAAGAGATTTGGTTCTGGCCAGGAGAGTATGAGGATAAGCATTGGATTCCAAATGCTGGCTGGGATCTGCAGGCATCAGGGTCAGCCCTGCATGCAAGGCTGGTGGAACAGGAGGTCACTGGAGGCTGAGGAAACACCATTTATCTCTGTGCAAGAGAAAGCCAAACCTATCTCTGCACTTGGCAGCTCATTACAGAAAGACAAAAAGCTGGAGGGAGCTTGGGGAAGATCAGGCCAGTGAATGGAGACCAAGGAGGCAGGAAGCTCTGGAGCCAGGCTGGGAGAGCTGGGGGTGCTCACCTGGACAAGAGAAGGCTCCAGGGAGAGCTCAGAGAGTTCCAGGAGAGCTGGAGAGGGACTTGGGACTGTCACAGGCATCTTTTATGGAAAATCCTTTCCTTAGGATTTTTTCTCCTGAGAAGCTGGGAGGCCTCAGGAACAAAATGCAAACATTGATTATCTGCTGCTGTGGAATGCAACAGGTGCATCTGGGATTGGGCCCATGTGGTTGTTTCTAATTAATGGCCAATCACAGCCAGCTGGCTCGGACTCTCTGTCCAAGCCACAAACCTTTGTTATCTTTGTATTCTCTTTCTATTCTTAGCTAGCCTTCTGATGAAATCCTTTCTTCTATTCTTTTAGGTATAGTTTTAATGTAATATACATCATAAAATAATAAATCAGCCTTCTGAAACATGGAGTCAGATCCTCATCTCTTCCCTCATCCAAGAACTCCTGTGAACACCGTCACAGGGGACAAGGGATGGAGGGACAAGAGGGGAATGGCTCTCACTGCCATCAGAGATTAGGGACAATGTCATCTCCACTGTGGAACTTCCTCCCTGCAATACAAACCATGACTTACTTCCGTGTTGGGAGCAACTTTTTGTAGATTCCAAGGCCCGGTGAAATCAACATTTTTGCTTCTCTTGTCTGAACTACAATTGCCTTGCTCCTTCCTTTCATTACTTTGTCTGTGTTTTAGTTGGCACAGTTTTCTTTCCATGAAGCATGGACCCAAAACTGGACCCAGTGTTGCAGCCACAGCCAGGAGAGCCAGACAAGATCTCACAGAAATCTCAGAGCTCTAGTCTGCACCCTTGCCATGGGTTTGTGTCCTGTTTTTGTGGCCTCAGCTGCTTTGGGCTCTGACCAGGACTGGTTCTCCACTCACTGCCCATCCCATGCTGATGCTACTTTTTATTCTTGCTCACATGCAGGAACTTGTATTTGCTGAATAACAGCCTTGGCCTCAAATTGTACCTTCAGTTATCCGAATCCTTCAAAAATCTGCTTTGTAGCTCTTGGTGTTATGGGATCTGTGTATTCAATAAGCACAGCAGTGAAAATAACAACAAATCCCACAGCCCTGATTTTCCAAAAAGCCCAGATATACTCAATCACCCTCCAAGAAGGAAAGTTTTCTTTAGTTTTAAGTGGAATTTCCTGTGTGCCCATGGCCTCTGCTCCTGGCACTGGGCACTACTGGGAAGAACCTGGCTCCTTCCTCTTTGCCCCTTCCCTGCAGGTGTTTGTAAGCCTGGAGGAGCTCTTCCTCAGCCTGTCCTTCCAGAGGATGAACAGCCCCAGCTCTCTCAGCTTTTCCTTACCAGAGGGAGCCCAGTGTCCCCATGGGCACCTCAGGGATCCCAGAGGGGGGTGGTGGCTGCTGTGATGTCTGAGGTGGGCAGGTGACACTCATGGAAGGACATGCTGCTGCCTCTGCAGACAGCCCTGGAGCTCAGTGGGAGCCAGCTCCACCATGCACCAGCACAGGAAGAGGGATCTGGCTGTACTGGGGTCCCTTTTTGTCCCCTGATCCATCCTGAGACAGCTCCAGAGGCAGGAGCAGGCAGCTGGGTCTCCATTTCCCCCAGTCACTGATGTGAGGCAAAACACAAATACATGCTCACATACACAGACACAATTTTCATGCATGATGCTCACAAGGGGAAATGATGCTTCAGCTTAGGAATGGGCAGGATCAGGCTCCAAACCTCCTGGATATACCACACTGAATCAGTGACCCCACTGTGCTGAGGAGCAGTGTCCCTCCACGAGAAACAAGGGCCAAAAATCCACCACAAATGAGCTACACCTCAGGAGGAGGACTACAGAAAACAAGGGAGATGATAGTTACAGGAAGGAGCAGCAAATTAAATCTGTACAAGTGTCATGGAGACCATCAGTAAAGCCCATGCTGGGCACATGGTCTGTGTGGCATTGACATTCTCTGAAAAAATTCCTTCACCCAGGATTTTTCTCCTGGGAAACTGAGAAGCCTCAGAGAATAGGAAAACAATTCTTATCTCATTGGCTTCTCCTGTGTTTTGCTGCTGTGGAATGTGTTTGGAGATTGTTTACCCACAGGTGATTGTTCCATTGCATTCTGCTGTGAGTTGTTTTCACTCATCGGCCAATTGAGGCCAAACTGTGACAGGACTCTGGAAAGAGTCACAAGTTTTCATTATTATCTTTTTAGCATTCTGTAAGTATCCTTTCTGTATTCTTTAGTTTATAATAGTTTTCTTTAATATAATATAGTATAATAAAGTAATAAATTAGCCTTCTGAGAACATGGAGTCAGACTCATCCTTCCTGCCTTTGTATGGACAGTTCCCAGCAAATACAATAGATCTGGGAGGAAAGGTTTGAGAAAGGTTCAAGGAAGCTGGTATAGGTCAGCTGGGAAGGAATATATTGTTGCATTAAGATATATCAGCACAGCAGGCTAAAGAAGTCAAAAAGCCAGACCTACTTTCTAACACAGAAAACAGAATAGCTCTTGGCCTCAATCAGATTAAATGCAATAATTTAATCAGGCAGGCCAGAAATCAATCTGAGGGATAACTTGTTAAAGGCATCCAACTGCTGCCAAATCTTTTTTGTGATTTATGAGAAGCAAGTCAGGGAATCCACGGAGATGTGGAAGGAGCCTCAAAGAGGAATCCCTTTTTCACCTGGGGTCAGCCATCCCCACTCCTCAGGACTCAGCCCAAGCACCCTCCCCACCTGTAACCCAGGGAAAGCAGCCCAGCAGGGGCCAGGCAGAGCACTCACGAGCTGGTGGAGCAGGAGCTGGGGCTCAGTGATGTGTGCCAGGGGTGGCAGTGGCTTGGCACACACGAACATCAGGTTGGAGAAGAGCCGCAGGAAGCGGAGCTGCGCCCGCGCCCCGCACGGGAACGTCACCGTTCTGCTCGGCAGCTCTGCAAGGGAAATGCCAGCACCATCAGCTCCTCTGGGGCTTCTCTCAACACCTCCCTGCCCAGCAGAGCCCCTGAGGGCCAGGCACCCCCAGCTCCTCCTGCCCTGCATGGCTCACCTTGGCCGTGTCCCCAGCGCTCAGCGGCTGCTCCCGAGGCACAGATGGGGTCTGTCAGGGACCGGGCCTCCTTCAGGGTGTGCCTGATCTCCATCACCTGCTTCCCAGTGACCAGGGGATCACGGCCAATGTCTGGGGGAGAGTGGGGAGGAAGCACAAGGATCACTCCAGGCTCCTTACTGATCTCCCTGCCTTTCAGGCCCTACATCAATGCCTCCATGCTGCTCGGAGGCCACTGAGAGCTCCCACAGGGCACAGCCGGTGATTTGGAGTTTAGGGAAGAACAGTGGGTGGGATGGGATGGGGTGGGATGGGGCGATGTGGAGCCACTGCTGTCTCTTCTCACCCCTGCCACTGAAGCAACTGGTTTTATCACTGGCTGGGGTCTCTGTACAATTCACAAACAGGAGGGGGCTGCTGTGGAATGTGCCTTGAGCTGTTTTATTTTTCAGCATCAGCCTCATTACATGCTTATGACAATGGGAAGATGCCACCAGCTCACATCTCAGGCAGCAGACAAAGAACTTGATGTTACAACTTACTTTATAAGTTTTTTGACCAATCACACAAAACAAAAGGAACTACTGACAGTAGTTCTATTTAACCACTATAAGCATACACACCTTTGGTTAAACAATGCTTGCTTATTTCAAATACAATACCTACTTGTAAGCCTTAAAACACAATGCACAGAGCTCCATTATTAAGCTTCAAACTTCCTAATATCTTGCTAGATAAACTTTTCTGTAGCTTAGGGAGTTATTCAGACAAGCATTAATACACAGACTATTGTTCTATTTGTCTTTGCTTTTCTACCTTTTAAATAATTTTTCTGCTGACCTATCTCATGGCTGCTGCTTAGCTCTAATCACAGTTCTACTGTTTCTGAAGCCTGCCTTTTGCAGCTTTCCCAAAACCCTCTAATTTTGTAAATTCCCATAATTTCTAGCTTCTCTTACCTTCTAACACATCCTCCAGCATGTGTGTAACCTTCTTCTCTTGCAGAATGTGTTTCTTCAGGTATTTCATGAAGATCCCAGAGCTAAACTCCCCATCCTGCAGTTCATAGGCCTCTGCATCTTCACTCCTGCAAGAGTAAGGGTGTTTCTTCAGAGTCCTTGCAGTTCTGCATTGGGCATGAAGCCCAAGGTCAGTCTGGGGTGGCCAGCTCCATCCAGGCTCTATTGGCTGGGTCAGAGTGAGCTCCTCAAGGAATAACACAAAGTGCTTTGGTTGTGCCCCAGAGAGGATGGGCAGGCCACAGGACAGGAAAAAGCAGTGGAAGGGAATGGGACAGGACAGCACAGTCTCCTTTGCCAGCCCAGGTGGGTGACAAAGGTGAAAAGCCAGTGGAACTGGCACTGGAGCAGTAAATAACACCCAGCATCTCAGGAGGCTTTGGGTGAGCTGCTCATGGGACACCCACCTGAGGAACCAGGCTGAGGATCAGGTGACAGGAGCTGATGTCACCTTCACACACAACTCTGGAAGGAAGGACAGAAGTGCCTGGACAGCACACCCAGGAGCTGGAGGGTGACAGCAAGAGGGAACATGAAATCCTCTCCAGCCTCTGTGCAGGAAAGGCTGAGAGGAGACAGGGCTGTGCCAAGGTCTCAGAGCCAGAGGGAACATGAAATCCTCTCCAGCCTCTGTGCAGGAAAGGCTGAGAGGAGACAGGGCTGTGCCAGGCTCTGAGAGCCAGAGGGAACATGAAATCCTCTCCAGCCTCTGTGCAGGAAAGGCTGAGAGGAGACAGGGCTGTGCCAGGCTCTGAGAGCCAGAGGGAACATGGAATCCTCTCCAGCCTCTGTGCAGGAAAGGCTGAGAGGAGACAGGGCTGTGCCAGGCTCTGCTCCTGTGTGGGGTTGTGGGAATGCTGAGGTCACTCACGTGGAATAGCCATAGACAGTGTTCCCCCAGGGCTCCAGGGGCTGCACCTGGGACAGGGCACGTCCTGGGTTGTACCTGGAGAGGAGGCAAAGGCACAGGTCAGTGCTGAGGACATCTGTCAGCTGGAGGGGACAAATCCCACACATTCCTCATGTCCACCTCTTAGGGGTGGCAGTAGGATCAACTCTCACCTTAGATACAACCAGAGGGACTAAAGCTGGGAATCCCACCAAGAACCCAAACCACAGAGAAAGGTGTGGTCTGTCCAGCTGTGACTCACCTGCACTGGTGAGCTGCTCCCTGCCCTCAGCCTGGAGCTGGGGGTGCACATTGGCACCTCCTACAGAGGCTGGGTTTTAACAACTCCAGCAGCACCACAGTGCAGAGAACACACAGGTTCACCCCATGCACAGCTGTGCCATGAGGCATTCACATCCTCTGAAAAAATTCCTTCACTGAAGATTTTTCTCCTGGGAAGCTGAGAAGCTTCAGAGAAAAGGAAAACAATTCTTATCTCATATCTCATTTGCTTCTCCTGTGTTTTACTCATGTGGAATGTGTTTGGAGATTACTTCACTGGATTCTGCTTGAGTTGTTTTCACTCTTTGACCAATTGGGGCCAAGCTGTGTCAGGGCACTGGAAAGAGTCAGTTTCATTTTATCTTTTTCATTTTCATTCAGAGTTTTCATTTTATCTTTTTAGCATTCTGTAAGTATCTTTTCTGTATTCTTTAGTATAGTAAGGTATTCTTTAATATACTTAATATACTTAATATTCTTTATAATACTATATTATAATAATATAATATGTTAAATATATCAATATAAATACATGAAAATAAATATAAATTTATAAAAGATATTTATATCTAAATATATATTTAGAATATATGTTTAAAATTTATATTATTTATTATTAAAATAAATAATATAATATAAATAATATCTAATAATATAATATAAAATATTAGCCTTCTGAGAACATGGAGTCAGATGCATCATTCCTGCCTTCACCAGGGCACCCTGCAAACACAACAGTCCCTCAAGGAGCCAGAGGTGCTCAGCACCATGGTTACAGCTCAGTTGTCTTTGCACCCCACAGGGCCCTTCCAGACCATGCCCACACCTTTGCCTTAGGGAACCAAAGCAGGCTGTGGGTGATACACCCCCAGATCTCCCTGAGATGGGATCAGGACACACACAGGAGTCTCAAAGCCCAAAACTGGTCTCAGCACCTCGGTCTAGACACAGAGCCCCTATTATTCCCAAAATCAGGTAGATCCATGGTGACAGGATCTGATTGCCAACAAAACAAAAAATCTTGGTGGCACTGGATGGTTAAACCTTGCCCATCTGCCTGCAGCCAGACTGACAGCATGGGGACAGGCTGCCTCCAGCTCACACCAGTGACTCGGAGCTGCTCCCAGTCACACGGTGACAAGAACCAGGCACAGAGGCAGAGTTAGTCCATGTAATTCAATTCCAGCACAGTTTCCTGGGGCTGGAGCTGGCACTCTAAGGACAGCAGAAAGAACAGAGGTATTGCCACCAGCCAGCATGTCACCTACTGCTGGCGGCACAGCCTGGAGATGTTCAATGGCAGAATTCAACTGGCTTGTGTAAGTTGTCCCAAAGATGATCAGAATAGAAAATGTGAGAAAGGAAGCATGTTTCTAAATCTGAATATTGAGATTTATCTGCTCTTCAATTCCTCTTAGTTTAATGCAGAAATCTTTGGTTCCAGATCCTAGGATAAAACAGGGAGTTCCTGGAAAAGGCAATCACATCCACCCCAAATCAGTATATCAATGTATGAGGCTACACACAGGCTCTGTGCTGATTCCTCCCCTGCTGAGGCTGAGCATCTGCTCCCCTTGGCAGAGGGAGGAGATGTGTTTCTCAGCACCCTGGCATTTCTGATGCCAACACATGGGGTGAGCAGCAGCTCTGGGTGAGCTCCCTCTCAGCACAGCCCCAGCTTCATACAGGAGCTGCTGCAGCATCAGCCTGACCACGAGGGTGCTGGGAAAGGAGGCCCTGGGAGCCTTGTTGTACACAGCTATGAAACCCAGATGCTTTCCTGAGCTGAAATGGTGACTTCTGGAAAAAAATGAGCTCAGGACAGAACTCCTGCCCCCACAAGATCAGGGATAACACCACTGCATGGAGTGCTGTGCTTGCTGTGGAACAGAGGAGGTGTGAACTTCAGGGAAGGAGGGAGAGACTCCACTGAGCAAAGGAACAGTGGCAATGCCAGGGGAGGAGACAGCAGCTCAGAGGGAGACAGACAGCACCTCAAAAGCTGTTTTACAGACTGTTAGCACTTGCACTGGTGTCCCTGTGCAGCCCCCACAGTGCCTCCCCATCACACAGACGGCACAGCACAGCCCAGAGCTGCTCCAGCCCAGCTCCAGCAGAGCATCCATGAGAGCCAGGAGCTCCTGCTTGGCTGCAGGCCATCCCCTGCCTCTGATCCCACTGGGGAGGGCAGCCAGGTGTGCCAGGGCAGCAACACACCCTGCCCTCAGCAGGAAGGGAGAAAGGGGATGCTCCACTCTGGGGAGCTCAGGGCAGCATCAAGGGACATCAAATTCCTGCCCCAGAGCTGTGGGACAAATCCCAGCACAGCCAGCTTTAAGCTATTCAAAGCAAGCAGCCCCATCACTGCAGCTAAAAGGCATCCAAAATTTATCAGCTCTCAGGGGCTGGCAGCTCTCTCAAGGTACCAAAAGCTTTGTTGTCTTTCCCATTCTTAATGCAGGAAGCACAGCAGGAAGAGAGAGATATTTTGCTCTCCAGGTCATCTCTGACCTGTAAATCTGCCTCAGGAGCCTGAAATAAATGAACTAATGACAGCTTCTACTGCACCAGTCCACCCACCTCTGCTGAAATTGGACAAGTAGTAATTTCCTGCAGCAGGATACAAGTCTGCAGGCCAAGGGAGGATGATGGGTTTTCCACAGAAAGTGGGAAAATGCTGATCCCTGACCTCAGCAGCAGCAGCTTCACCACACGACCACTTCAGAAGGATTTAAGCCCAGCAGAAAAACAAGTAGCAGGGCTTAAAATATTTTCCCTGTCATGCTGCACTCTTCTCACAGATGTTAACAAGAATGCAGCCAGGAGAAGAGAGGTGAACTCAACACTCCCAGCCTCAGCAGGTGGGAAATATGGACCAGGAAAGCACACAATCAGCAAGATCAGGTTAGGTTGAAACACAAAATAAAAACCCTGTGCTGAGTTTATGCCAGGCAGAGCCACCCCTCCACAAGCTTGAGGCAACTTGCCTGTATTTGCCAGGATTCTTCACCCCAAAAACCAAGGGAGGGTCTCCAGCAGATGTCAGACAAGGTCTGATGCTCTCTGCACTAAGACTTGATGGACCCATCCCTCAGGACACCCTGCAGGACCTGACAACGTGGTTGATTTTATAGATCAATAACCTCTGGCAGAGGCTCAGCAGCACCATGGGGGCTGTCCAAACCCACAGCTGAGGATGGCTGCCCTCCCCAGCCCTCAGAACACCCAGGTGAGCAAGGGGGAAGAGGCTCCTACCACTTCCTGCAGGTGTCCAGCAGGATGATGTTCAGGGCTGTCTGCTGCTGCTGCATCTTCTGCAGGATCCTCTGCACGCTGATGCAGTTCTCAGGGGCGTAGGGCTGGGGAGCATCCACAGGGACCATGTAGTTCCTCCCCAGATGCTCATAGCCATGCCCAGCATAGTAGAACACAGCTGGGGACAGGGAGAGGAGAGGTGAATCAGGATGCCAGCCTGCAGGTGTGTAACCAGCTCCTCATGGCCCTGTCCTGGAAGGAGACTGGTGCAGGGCAGACCTAGACCAGTATGGAACTGGAGCTACCTTGACCTCACAATTTCAAATTTTTCCCAATTTACTCCCTTCATTAGTGCTGGAAGGAGCCCCAAGAGGCTCTCCTGTGCTTGTAGATTCCTGCACTGTTTGTCTCCTGAGGACCTTGGATTTACACACTTCCAAACCCTCTGTGCTGCAACACCCAGGCTCAGCACCTGCCAGGCTGAATTTCACCCTTGTACCATGTTTTGGTCAGTCCTCAGGTCTCTGAAGGAACAAGGCAACAGAAAAGGATTTTACCAGGATGGAAAATACATTAACAGTCATTTAAATTAGATGCCATTAATAGCCATTTAAATTAGAAGCTCCTCAGTTTTAGTTTTGGAGACGAGACTAACAACTGATTAGGTGACAGAAAACATTCTCCATTTCAAAGGTCTGCCTGTCTTCACACACCTATAAACTGGTGAAAAATTAGACACAGAGAGAGATGAGTTCTTCAGATACCCAGAACATGAGGATTGTGTGCTTCAACAACCTCAAACCAAGCACCAGCCCTGTTAAGGGAGGAGTCAGACTCATGCAGATGCTGGTGGGAAGCCTAAAGCCCAACAAGAATTTTGGGTTTTACTCTTAGGCACAATGAAACAGTAAAAGTTTCTGCCTTCCCAAGGGATGGGCTATCCAGGTGGGAAGCCAGCACTGGGAACTTGGCATGGCCTAAGCTGGGGCGCCTCTGCAGCCCAGGTTCAGTGCAGGGCTGGCACAGGGATCCCCAGGATGGAGCTTCTCACAAGGGGCAGTGGCTGGCCACCCCTCCCCAGGGCCAATGCCACTGCCTGGGGATGCTGCTTGGTGAAAACTGGGGAATTGAAATGGGCTAAAAAAAGCTCTAAGAGGTGACACAGGGAGTTGTGTCACTACAGCTGGGGGACAGTGAAGAGGGGTCAGAAATGGGAAAAAGCAGCTAAGAGGCAACAGCAGGAGAAATTCCTCACTCAGATTCACTGCCAAAGCCCACACTGAGTGAGTAACCTCTCCTCTGTTTTCCTTCCACTGCCCCTGCACTTGGCAGGACGCTCACTCTGGTGTGATTCTGCAGGGATGCAGTGACAGGGGCAGGAGCTGAAGGGCTGAAAGCATGACCTCACTGTGTGCAGAATGGAAAACATGATCTCAGAGTCAAAAAGACCTTGAGTCACCTTTGGTTTCTATTCTCAGGGGACAATGGAAAGTTTCTCAAATGGCCATTTTCACAGGTGCCCATGAGATTTGGGTTCCTCTTCTGGTGGATCACCAGCCAGAGGCAGCAGGCTCTGATTTGCAGAAGCTTTAAACTTTTGTAACTTGTGAATCAAAGTCACAGAACCCTCCCCTGAGACTAGAAAAGAGCATAAAACAGGAAGCCTTCTAGAAAAATTAGATGCAGCTTGGGCCCCTTGAGCCACTGAGCACTGGTGGCTTTTGTCCTTCTGCCTGTACATGCAAGGGAAGTGATGACATCTGTCACCAGGCAGCACCACTGAGGCTTGGAAAAAATGAAATGTAACAGGAAAGCCCACAAAGAATGATTCACTCCTTAAATCTTGTAACTTTTGAGGTCTTGTTGAGTACCTGAATGCACCACCAAGTGCTCCCCATGCTATACAAACCACAAAGACTTGTGTTCAAATCAAGAAAGGTGAGTTTCACATCACCTGAGCAACTTCTCCAACCTCTCCTGGACTGAATCTCTCCTCATGAACAGGAAAGTCAATAGCTTGCCCAGAGAAGGAAAGGGATGTTTAATTCTGAGTTCTTTCCACATTGTATGAGTCAGAACTGCTCGTCACAGAAAAACTTTTGAGTTTAAATTAAAAAGGGGAAGCTCCAAGCACTGCTTATAATGGAGGAAACGTCAGCTTGAGGCTGAATAAAGGCCATTTTCTGCTTGTGTTGCATTTCCAACATAATTTTTTTTTATTTGGGACTTTTTAGGATGCTCAAAATAACATCCAGGGGATTCCTCACTTGCCTGAGGGTGGTATAATTAGATCACTTAGAGGATGTAGTTTCAGGGCCTTGCAAAAATCCTATGAAGCTTTTTTAAGATGAAGTCTGGAGGAAAAGCAGCCTGATAATAAACCACCTCCATACAGTGAACTGGACAAACCTTTGGATCATGGGATCACTAGGGCTGGGAAAGACCTCCAAGATCATCAAGTCCAACCTTGGACTGAACCTCACCATGCCCACTAAACCATATCATGCAGTGTCACATCCACTTGGTTTTTGCTCCTTCAGCCTAAGCAGGCATTGCCTCACAAACACTCAACCCAGCTGTTGATATTTTGCCTGACAGCACACAAAATCAATTTTGCCAGGAAGGATCAGAGGCCACGAATGCAGAGAAGCTCTACAAGTTTAAATAAAGCATGACAACATGAAAGGTTTGCTGTTTCCAAGCCTTTTTTTCTCTGCAGTGCTTAGGAAGGGCCATGGATAAAATGCCTTTTGGTCCTCACTGTCTGGGTGCCACTCAGCTGGCATGTAACCCTCACACTGAGGTTTGGAAACTAAAAACAAGCACCTTCAAGGAGTTTTCAGGGTATCTATCCCACTGTAAGAATCTCAGGGACCCCAAAGATGCTATTTTCACCACCAAATCTGAGCACCTTCTTTAAGATCCACAAGATCTGCTGGTTGGGTTTGTGGTTGAGGAATGCTTCCTTACTGAGTACAATTAAGCACAAAGCCCAACCTCAAAGCCACCTGCAGCTGGAAATGCTCTTCTGCAAAAGGGCTGTCAGGGGCCCAAATTAGACCTTCAGGAAAGAGAAACAAGGAAATCATGACCAGATGCAGCAGTCAGGGCCCAAAAGGAGCTCCCCTCCTCACACATGAGTAGGGAGGGGCAATCAGTCAGTGTCCTCAATTCTTTCATGCAAGGAAAAATCAAAACCCCCTTTCCCATTCACTATTGGAAGCACTGGCTCCCCAAAAACTCAGTGTGAGCCCATGCTGCTGGGATTGGAGGTGAGCCACATGTTGGAGAAACATCTGCCAAAACTAAACTACGCTTAATCCAAGGGCTCCTGCCAAACCTGAGACAGCAACATTCAATTTCTTCTCTTTTAATTCAATAGCTGTTCAGACAATTCCCCAACCCCTCCTGAGCACAGGCAGGGGGCTGAGCTGGCTTGGCCTTACCATAGACTCCCTTGCCCAGGAGCTGCAGGAACTGAGCGACCGCTGTCGCCATCTCAGCCTTGTTGAGATCCAGCAGGGACACAACCTGGAAGCCCAGATGCTCCAGAAGGTGCCTCAGCTCAAACACATCCCTCACAGGGGCCATGAGGTTGGGGTGATGCTGGTAACGGTTGTTGCCCACCAGAAGTGCTATTTTGCCTGTAGCTGAAACAGACACCAAGTGAAAAAGCTGTAAATGCTCAGCAAGATCTCGCCTCCTGCTCTTGGAGAGGATATGGACAATCTAAGCAAGGATAAACCCTAGGCTGCTGCAAGGCAGGAGCACTCTCCAGAAAGCTTTCTGAACACTTTGACAAAATCCACAGTCATTTTGACAGAAAGGCTTGGAAAGTTTTCAGTTGACAACCAAAATCCCAGGAGTGCAGAGGTTCTGCTCTACCTGCCCAACCATGACCACAGGGAGGGGGATTCACTGAGCCAGGCTGAGGGGTCCTTCCCTCACAGGGCTGAAGCAGAGAAACCCAAGGCTCCTGCTTTGATTTTATCTCCATCCCCCACTGTACAAAAACGGGATTTATTTTGCTCAGTGCTGGTGGGAGGGAGGGACTTTGCCCTGCTCTGAGGAGGTATTTCAAACAGGGATAGGTTGTCATTTAAACAACACTTTTTTAAATCATTTGGCAGGCACAGAGCTTAAGACTCAGTTACTCATTAGGAATAATCTTACTCCACTTACTGAAAAAGATCAGGGCTTGGCAGGGGCTGGGATTCATTTTATGCTGTACAGCTGTAATCCAAAAGTGCAGAGCCTGTGGTCATAAAGGCTTGAAACAATCTCTGCAGAAAAAGCATTCCCATTTCTTGTCCTCCCATCCACCCTGGAGCCTGGCTTTTAATTAAGGGAATAATTGCACAGGAAGAAAAGATGACAGTACTCACCAAAAAACTTTCCAGAGTCACAAAGACCTGGGAAAGAAAAAGGGAAATGATAAGCCTGGGTTCAGTAAGCCTGGGCCCAGCACCCAGTGCAGGTCTGAATTCTGCTCCCACAGCCCTGGCCATGCACAGCTGGAACAAACACACAGAGGACCTGCACAAGCAACACCCCTCAGGCACCTCTTCACAGCCTGACTGCTAACCTTAAAGACCTGCTAACCTCTGATGCTGGGAGGATTTCTGAAATCCAGCCTGATTTATGACATCCTGAGCAGCTGGGAAGCAAAGCCTGGAGAGGTGGCAGACCAGGGAAGGAGGGTCAATCAACATGGAGAAGCTCATACCTGATGTGACTCACCTGCTACCTCACTGCAGCAAAAGCAAAGGAAACAAAATGACTCAAGGTCAATACAAGCTCCAAAACCAGAGTTTGTCCCCATAAATGTGCAGTGCAGAGGAAGTTGCCCTGTTTGCTTTTGATTGCAACAATATTCCCAGAGTTTTTAATCTCCCTGCTCTGCCTTTCCCTGCTGTTTTAGCAGCACTTCTGGCTCAGCAAAGCCACTCACTTTGGTCCACAAGCTCTTCTGCCTGAGCACTTCCAGTCTCTTAAAATCATTATTACCTTAACAGCTCCAGCTTTTCCTATTTCAATCAGAAATAAATTTAAAAATCCAGCCCAGGAAAAAATTTGAAAACCCTAAATGCTCTTAAAGAAGAAATTAGGGATAAATTGCATAAATCCCATGGGTCTTGAAGACCTCTGGCTCCTGAATCAGCGTTGCTGATGCATGAGAGGTGCCTGAAAAGCTGCAGAACAAAACCACACATCCTCTTCCACCTCCTACAGAGGCACCTGCTGCATGTGAAAGCTCCCCAGCAGTAATACATGGAACCCAACCCAATCTGGTGTCCTCTTCTCACTGTCTGTGCCCCCAGGATGTGTTTTGCCAGCTGTGAGGAGGCAGGCAGAGTGCTCTCTGGCTACACAAGATCAATTTGCACTATGGAGAAATTTTAAAGCCAGCATAAAAGGCAAGATAAGAAGCTTATGGCATAGAAAAATCTCTAGGTGGAGTAAAGAGCCAGCAATTCAGCCTGAGCTATTCCTGCCTCACATAAGGGAAAGGCACAGGGCCAAAGCAGCCAGAGGTGCTCTGGGAACACATCCTCTCCCTGGGATCCATCACTCACACAGCACCAGCCCTGAGCTGGCTGCCCAAGGGGCCTGAACCTTCCCAAATAAACACCATCCTCTCCAGCTCTGTATCCAAGCACATCCCTTCATGTCAGAGAGACTGGAAATGCGTATGGCCACAGGAGCCTGCTGAGATTTGGCCTGAACTGTGAAAGCAGCACCTTGGCATGGTGTCTTGGCAGGTCTGAGAGCACTGAGCCTGCCCTAACACAGCAGGTCTGACCCACAACAGGCCCAGCGGCATCCCATGTGCCAGACAGCGGATCACTGCATTTAGGGGCTTCCCCCTTTGCCCCCTCAGTGTCAAGGAATCCTGTTTATCACAGTCCTCATTCACCAGCTCAGCACCCCCAGAGAGCACCAAACTCCTCTGTCCCCTGTAATCCCATCCCACAGCAGGTGACACACAGCAGAGGGACAGGGGCTGGCTCTGCTCACCGATGTGAACGTCCACGGCGCTGCTCCAGTGCTCCCCATGCCTGTTGGAGGCACAGCACAGGTACGTGCCAGAGTCACTGACCCTGCTGTGGCTGATCTAGGCAGACCAAAAGTTAAATCACATTATTTATGGGGAAAGTCTGAAGATCCAGGCCAGGATGTGCCAAAGGCACTCGTGTTCGTGGAATAAAAAGTATTTTTCCTGCTGTTTGCAGAGACTTTACCTCACAAAGAATCAGGACAGGGACAAGAACCAGAGCAGTACCAACTGGTGAGGACTCTGGTTCTCCAGCCCAGGATCCTGCTCAGAGAGGGACTAAAGCCACCACTGAGTCAGGGTGGCCACAGCTCTGTCTATTCAAGCCCTGAACACCTCTAAGTACACTGCAGCCTTTCTGGCTCCAGCACAGCACCATCCACCCCTGAAAACAACCTTTTGTTAGTGCCCAGACTGAACTTTCCCATCAGAATTGCAATCTAAGGCCACCATGTAATACCCTCTGAGACCATCTGTAATACCATCTGAGAAGAGACTGGATGTCTTGTCCTTGTGCCTTTCACATGATGCCCTGGGAGGAAATTTCCTTTCCTGAATCAATAACACAGCACTGATTTACACTCAGCCAGAGACACAAAATAAAGCCAGCTCCTCTGCTGCCTCCCTGACTCTTTTCTGCTAGGTCTCCAGCAGGCAGACAGGATGCCCACTGCTCCATCAATCCACACACAGAGAGTAGCTGTTCTCATGTCTCTGCATAAAAGGGCACAAGAGGTGTGCTGAGAGCCCTTGACACATCTATGGATTGGTTACCTCTTAGAGGAATACCCACAACTTTGAAAGAAATGCATAAAACATATTCCCCCTTCACACAGAGTCATCCAGCCAGCTGCCAAAGCAGCAGGGTGACACGTGGAGGGCTTTCTCACAACCCTGCAATCAGCTTCTCCCATTACCCACCTCAGCACCCAGAGCTCCTGTACTGCCCCCAGAAAGCCTTACCCGGAGCTTTTTCCTCTTCTGCTGCTCCAGGGGTGTCCCATTGTGGTACCACTGGTAGCTGGGGGCTGGCACCCCCATGGCAGCACACTGCAGCTGCAGGGGCTGCCCCACCTCCACCCGCTGCTCCTGGGGGTTCAGCACAATCACCGGCTCTCCTTGCCACAGCCGAGGGGGCAGACCTGCAAGGCAGCAAGACACAACTGGTCCTCCCTCCACAGGGACAGCAAACAACACCAACTTCCACCATCACTACTGCACCTTTCTCCTTGGGGAGCAGGGAACCCTTGGGAGCAATGCCTGTGACAGTAAATGCCACACCAAAGCCCTGCCTCCGGCTTCCCAAACCTGATCCTCACCGTTTCCTGACAAAGGTACAGTCAACACTCTAAGGAAAACCACACCTCGTTTTTGGTCAACTTTGAAGTAGCCAGATGGGTTCTTCCAGTCCCAATATAACCCAGAATAACTCTGGGAAACCCACAGCAAGCATGAGGTGCAGGTGCATGTGGACAGGGCTTGGAGCAACCTGGTCTAGTGAAAGGTGTCTCTGACCATGGCAAGAGGTGGAACAAGATGAGCTTGAAGGTCCCTTCCAACCCAAACCATTCTGTGACTCTATAACACATCAAGAAGGTAAAAGACAGGCTTGTACCTCTGGCAACACACTGATGGACCTCTACCTTCACCCAGTCAGAGAAGACAGCATTTCTGTGGAGGTCATTGACTCTGCAGGTGTAGAGCTGGGTCTGCTCTGCAATGATGGGCAAGTCCTGGTTGGTTGCTCCAGGAATGAGGCGGCAGTCAGACTAAAGGGAAAACAAAGGCAGTGGGCAGCAATTCCCTCCTCACTGCTGGCAGCAGAAGGCACCAGGAAACCCCTTGTAAGAGCAACAAAAGTGGAAATCCCTGGATCCTCCTCTCCTTCAGCTCCCCCACTGTGTGCAAGGACCCAGCTGGTGCCATACCCAAGGCCACCCATCCTTACCTGGTGCTGACAGAACCACTGGTACTGCAGAGGGGAACGTCCCTGGGCTCGGCACCGCAGCGTGAAGGAATATCCCACCGGGACAGAGACAGAGACCGGCTGCTCCGTTATGGTAATGGCTGTGGAGAAACAGCAGCTGCAGCTGGGAACAGCACCGCAGGCACAGCCCAGCATCTCACTGTCACCCAGTGGCCAGGCATGGGGAGCTTCAAGGGGGACACCCATCCCAGCAAGCGGGGAAGATTGGAGAGGATGGATGGATGGATGGATGGATGGATGGATGGATGGATGGATGGATGGATGGTGTGTAGGTGGATGGACAAGGGGATGGGTGGATGGAAGCATGGGTGAGTGAATGGATGACATGGGGCTCTCCTGGCTACTCCCGCAAGTGCCCGGGGGCTGGCACGGTCACTGCCAAGTGGCCACTCACCTTCCTGCATCGCTTCTCCGGCGGCTCCTCCCCGGCCCGGGCGGCCGCCGGCCGGCCCCGCGGCGGTTCCTGTCCCCGGGACGCGGCGGCGGCACCTGTGGCGAGGCACGGCGGCGCTGGGGCGGCTCGGGCCGGGCCCAGGGGCCGCTCACCCGGCGCGGGGGCCCATGGCGGGCTGGGGCTGGGGCTGCGGCGCCGGGCCGGGGCCCGCACTCGGCTGCCGCCGGCCCCGCGGGCCCGCACTTCCGCGCTCCCGGCCCGCCCCGCGCCCGCCAGCACCGGGGGCGGCGCCGCCACGCGCCCGACCGGACCGGACCGACACGGACCGGCACGGCACGGATCGGCTCCGCATGTCCGGCCCGCTCCGGCGGGGACGCCGCTCGCCACCATGCCGAGGCTGCCCGCAGCTCCAAGCCCACGAGTGACCTCGCCCCCTCCCCAGGGGTGTCCCCACGCCCACACCCACTGGTGGCCTCGCCCCGCTCCACACTCCTCACACGCGGCCTCCCCACCGCCGCTGCTGACCTCAGCCTCATTCACACGGGTGTCCTTCCCTCCCCGTACCGCGTGTCCTCGTCCCGTCCCCGTCCCCACCACCCCATATCCTACAGATATCCTCACCCCCTCCTCACGGGTGTTTTCACCCCCGTCCCCACCGGTGACCTCACCCAATCCCCACAATCGTCATTGTCCTTTCACCACAGGTGTCCTTGTCCCCATTCTGACTGGTGACATCAACTACTTACCAGGCGTGTCCTCCCCTCCTCCCCACAGTCCCCCCTCCACTCCTTACAGGCATTCTTGCCCCTCTCCTCACAGACGTCCTCCCCACACTGTCCTACACCCCCTGATGGGTATATTCGCCCCTATCCCCACGGGTGTCCTCACCGTGTCCCCACCAGTGTCCTCAGCCTCATCCCCACAGCCATCTTCACCCACATCCCCAGGGGTGTCCTCGCCGTGTCCCCACCAGTGTCCTCAGCCTCATCCCCACAACCGTCTTCACCCACATCCCCAGGTGTGTCCTCACCGTGTCCCCACGGGTGGCCCTGTCCGTCCCCGCATGATCACCCACGCCCTCATGCCCGCAGCCGCTCTCGCCCCATGCCCACCGCCCTCACCCCCGGCTCCAGGGCCGCACTCACGTCTCTCCTGGGGAGCACGGCCCGGAAGGTTCATGGTGGAGCCAGCACTCCCCGGGGTGGGTGTGTAGAACCCCCTTCCTCCGAGAAGTCCCCGCCAGCTGGGCCGGGCATCACGGGGGCCCGGGGGAAGTGGCTGGGACAGCCCTCCGGAGGTTGCACAAGCCCTTCTCTCTGGGAAAGAAGGGAAGCGTGGAGGAGTCCCCAGCGCTGTGCCGAGACTTACGCTGGCAAGGTTAGGGCAAGGTCAGGCTCATTAACCAATACTCATCACCTTTCCAGAGGCATCAGGGGTACAAGGAAATCAGCTGGAAATGGTGGCTAGGGAGGACAGAGGGTGGCCAGGGAGTGACTGTCATTCCCAAAGAACTTAGAAGTGACTGGGAAGGGAGTGTGACACAAAGCTGGGAGGAATGAACTCAGGGCAGACAAATTTGCATCTGGCTGGCTTTTCCCTATGTTAATAGTCCTAGGAAGCAGGCTCCTCACAGACCAGGACTTCAGCATGAGGGGGACCATGGACCAGTTAGAGAGAAAGCTATGAGAGACTCACTCTGCTTCTGAAATTTCTCTATCATGTAGCTATGCACTGAGCAAGGAAAAGAGAGGCCATCAGGGATATCTCTCACAGGAGGCAGCATGGAAGGGCACAAACAGGGGCATCAGGACGGCAGAGAGAAGCAGTTGTGGCCGAGTGCTGGTGGATCCATGCCCTATGGAACCCAGGGCAAGGCTGAGCTGTGCCATAGGGTCACAGGGACTAAGCAGGGCTGGAGGATGCATCTCTAACTGCTGCTTTTATTTTATAACAGGTGGGGAAGAAGGTGGTGGGAAAAAGCCAAACCCAACACAAGTGGTGGATCAAGGAAAGGCTCTGTCCCTCCATATCCTTTCCTTTGTGCAGAATGGGATGGTTACACTGCAAAGGCAAAGAAAACCTGCTGCACCCTGTCCACTCAATCTGACCCGGAGCAATCCCTGCTCCAACAGGGACTGATCCTCTCCTTCCATGGAGAATGGGAAAAAAAAGGAAAGGAAAGGAAAGGAAAGGAAAGGAAAGGAAAGGAAAGGAAAGGAAAGGAAAGGAAAGGAAAGGAAAGGGGAAAAGGGACGAGAAAAGGAAAGGGAAAAGGAAAGAAGGACCTTCCTTTGTGCTCATCTCCCCATCTGTCTGAGATCACACAGACCCTTTTTTTTCCTATTTTCTGCATGGTCCAGCTAGGCATTTGGAAATATATCTATAAATGATTGAAAATGAAGGTTCTGGCTGAGCATGTGCCAGCAGCTCTGTGGCACATCTATCCGGCAGAGTTATTATCTATGCGACACACGTAGCTAATAAAAATGATCATTAAATTAACCCCAGCACTTTCCCATAGCTAAAGATGACACTTCTGGCTGATGCAGAATTTCTTCAAACAGCTGGAGGTTGCTGTGTTCCCTGTGGACTGTTTCTCCAGGCTTGATAGAAAGAATCCTCCTCCAAATACCTCCTCAGGAAGCCCATTGTGCTTGTGCTCTGTCAGAGCCCTTCCCTGGCACTACCTGTTAATATTTGGGGAAGAACCAGCAGTGAGAGCTTGTTGTAGGAGTGCAGGAAGAAGCCTGTCATTTTAGAAAGGGAGGAACTTAAGGGTGCAGGATGGGAAAGGGAAGGATAAATTGTGCAAGAGGAGTGAGAAAACATCTGTGCCTGCGTGAGTCGGTGCTGGGTTTGCAGGCAGAGGAAGAAAGCTTTGCTAACGAGGTCTGAAGCCTCGTTTCTTGCTGGCTCAGGCTGCAGCAGCTGAATGCATTTCCCCCGGAGCCAGGAGCAGAGGGCACTGTCACTCTCTGAGCAGACTGACGGGAGAGCAGATGCTGTGAGAGGAAGCTGTCTCAGCAGGCAACAGGCACAGGAACCATTCAGAGCTTGAAAGGGCAGAAAAGGAATATAAGCCCTGCATGTCAGGGGGAGGATCAAACACCACAGCAGGCTCTTTCTGCGCTCACCATCCAGGCTTCTCTCCACTGACGGGGTGCAGCACCAAACCATGACATGACCAGGGTGGGAAGGGAGCCCTGGGGGTCTCTGATCCAGCCCCCCACGCTGAGCAGGATGTCAATCAGCTGCTCAGCACCCTGTGCCATCCACAGTCAGCTGTCTCACAGAATGGAGAGTGCCTGTGTCTTGGGTCCCCGTGGTACTGCTTGATTCCCTTCACAGGGCAAGTAATTTTCCCAATATCTAGTCAGAACTTTCCTCCTTGCCATTTGCATTTTGGCCTCTCATTCCATCACTCTGCACCTCTGAGTCTGTGCCCTCCAGGAGGTAGTGAAGAAAACAAGGAGGTCTCCATTTAGCCTTTCCCCAAAGCCTAAACCCCAGTTTCTCTCACCCTCTTCTCCTGTGTCAGGTGTCTGAGCTCCTTCAGGCTTTTAGGTGGCCTTCGCTGGACTTGATCCAGCATATTAGTGTCTTTCCTGTATTTGGGAATCTGAAATCAGACACAGTTCCAGGCCCAAAGCAGAAACCTACCTGTTCTGGACACCCTTTTAGCTGGTCTGGGCTCTGTTCTATCAGATCAATATGCCAAGAGACTGGGCTCATGGTAAAGAATGTGTAATTCATATGTTAGGACTTCAGGTTTCCTGAAGTTGTGGGACCTGAAAATCCTCTTTCTCTTTCCAGAGAAAGGGATGGGATCAGGAGAATGCCAGCTTGAGTCCTCCCAGCCCAGCATCCTGCCTCCCACATTTGGGCAGCAGCCAGAGCAGAGCAAAGGGTGTGAGATCAGGGCATGCTCACACTGAACATTCTTATGCAGCTCAAACATTTCTTTAACTGAAGGTTATATCTTCATACTGCATAAATCTCAGGAGATTTTCTTTCCACAGATTTGTCCTGTGGATTTTATTAATCCCTGTTGACATTGAACAGCCACAGCCATGTGTGGGAGTAGCCTAAAGCCAAGGGGAGGGAGGAAGCATCTCCCTTTGACTATTTTACCTCCTGCTAATCTGACTTGTTCTCCTTGTCCCTCTCAGCTGTGTATTCCTCAGTCATGGGCACCTCAGTGGCTTCTTCCAGGCTGGAGAGTCCCAGTCCACACAGTCACCCTTCATGCAGCAGCCAGCCTGGATATTGGCTCATCTTTGCTGCCCTTCTCTGAGTTCTGCATTTGGGTTCTTTGGGCATCTGCTGTTTTCTGTTTGAGGTGGTTTATTTCTAAGTGACATTAGTTCACACAGAGCTCACTGCTGCCTATTGAAAATGAGTACTGTGGTTTCCCCCATGGATCATGTTCTATTTGTTTTATGCAATTTCATCTGCTGTTTCACTGCCTGGTGAAGGTTTTCAGTCAGCCCTCTGGGACCACCCTTCTCCATATTTCCTAGGAGCACATCCAAATGTCTCAGGAGGTCCATCTCCTTTGCATTTGCCAAGATCAAATATCCTCTCTGCTATCACAAATCCTGCAATTTACCAGCCTGATAATGTGATCACCTGCCACTGTTGTGTCACCTGTACAGGTGATGCACACACTCTGTGTGTCTGTGCATACCCTGGTGCCAGTCCCTAGCCAAAGTCACATTCGAAATCACAGTATTTGCTGAGGAGAAGGAATCAGGAATGTCCTGCACCAATGCATCCATCACCTGTCCTGCTGCTTGCTGCCGCATCTGCTGCCTCTCCTGTCCCAGCAGGATCAGCTCTAATCATGCTGTATTTCCTGGAATGGGGCAATTTGCCATAATTTCCCTGCTCCTGCTGCAATCACTGCTGTGCAGCCATGGGCAGGCAGCTAATCCACAGTGAATCTGCTCCATCCATCATTCCAGTGCTGGAGGGATGCAGTGCCATCAGTGACATGTCTGCAGCACATGATGCAACAACTTGACAGGCAAGAGAAAGGTAGAACAAGAAAATAAGTCCATTTTATTACTC